CTCCCGACAGAGGCTTGTAAAGGACATATCCATCTGTCTGTCCCCATAGAACATGACCCCACAAGTCAGTGTCAGTGGAACCTGGACAAGGGACAGAGGGCCCCAGGTAACTTAATGCGCCCTGAACACGTCTGCAGCTCTGACAGGTGCAAATAACTCCACTCATCTAAATATAGACTTAGGCAGTGTGGAAACAGTCTTTCCCACTTTCTATTCTGATCAAGCAAAAGAATGTTCTCTCCCTAAGTTCTGATTCTTGATGCTGATTATTTTTATTTGGATTCATTTTGTAATAATTTTCACTGAGAGAAAAGCAGTATCAGAATTTTTAAAAAGTATTTCTCTTCCAAAATCTTAGATGAGAATTTTGAAGTGCATTAAGTTGGGAAGGGGATAAAGCATCAACAGTATTTCTTAAAACTCTCGGCATGAGCAGAAAGCTGATGCCAACACATGAATAAAAGAAACATACTGTGTCTAATCTTTAACCAGAAAGGGGACCTAATGTTTAATCAACAAGGTAGAAATTCTGCAGGGAAATACAGAATTCTGTGCTTTTGCCAGTTCCTGCCTCATTCACTCTCAATGACTCAACTTGACCTCCTCTCTCAAGATCGTACCAGGGGTGACCCGGGAAGTCTTTCCTGGCCTTCCCCACTCCCACCACTCTGCTGTCAAACACACACACACACACACACACACACACACACACACACACACACAGAGAGAGAGAGAGAGAGAGAGAGAGAGAGAGAGAGAGCGCGAAGGGAGGATCCCTCTCAGCTTCTCAAACACAAAGCTCACTCTCCATCCATTTGTTCCACACCACTGTTTATTGGTCTATGAGTTCCTTGGGTATGTGGGTTGGGGAGTTATATTTTTTTCATTTTTCTATTTCCAGCATCCTGGCTTGTGGCAACTGCTCAGTAATGTGTTGTTGAATGAATGAATGAATGAATGAATGAATGAATGAGAGGACTGAAGCAATCAGATGAGACCCAGTTCAATGAAGAAATAAAACAATACTACCACTGACAGTCTTGGAAACAATGTAAAACTAAAAAAAAAACAAAAACAAAAAAAACAGTTTAGGGAAGAATACTGATTAACTGATTCTAAGTTTTTTGGTTTATTTTTCTTAGGGAGTGGTTTTTAATAAATGAAATTAAGTCTAAAATTCAGTGCCAGCTATAATAAAGGCACTGAGTGTGCACTGACTGAGGGTTGAAATTTTCCATGTGCACTTCTCCTCTTTGCTGTCTTTCAAAGAGAGAGTGGGACAAGACTGTGTCCAAGGCTGGGTCCAGCTCCCAGGCCCTGGGGCTCTGGGCCTGCTGTCTTCTACAGCCTCCTGAACTTGCACCCTAGCTGTCTTCTGAGTGAAAAACAAAACAAAACAAAACTGTGCTCTTTTCAAGCTCATAGACACCATGCTCCTACCTAGCAAGACTGTGGTGTGCCACAACTAAGTTTAGCCTCACTTTCTGGGCCTGAAATAGCCATGTCAACCACGGGGGAAATGATTGCTCATGGTTTCTAGATCTATGAAAGAAATGTGCTTCCAAACCCTTATGCTATAAAGTCCTAACTCCTTCCCAGTTTGGTTCAGGTCACCCTTTGCCTGCACACATTTTACAATACCTGTTGGCCTTTATCTTTGCTTAGTGCACTAACACTCACTGTGCTTGAGAGACATGGCCAGCCCTTGGCTCAATAAATAATCGGCCTACTCATCAGCCAACAAAGGGGGGCTAAGAGCTGGCAAAGGGAGTATGACAACCACCCAGCAGGAGCAGATTTCCTAGGTGGTCCTTTATCTGATTTGTCCATCAGAGAGAGAAAGAGTAATGACCACCATTTACCCCTCAGACCAAGACACTGCATCTAGGGAAGCTCTCTGCAGAGCTGAAAGTTTGTTTGGATTATTATAATGAATTAATGTTTCAGTCTTGCATAGCTAGTAAAATTGGAAGTCACTCCTGTATCCCTTGAAGTAGAAATTGTCAAATGCCACATCCAATATAATAAACTTTCATAATGTTAAATATATCCCGTGTCAAGGACTAATATGCCCTTTCTGCATTTTTATTGTTATTGTTAGAGAATTTTTTTTAAAAAGGATGGTAGCAGTTGCTTTAACGTCTTGACACATTAAAAAGTTGGTATTATGTAAGCTTAAGTATCACATGGCTTCTCTTTTATGATAGTCAAATTATAAATTAACAAAAAAGATATATAATAGCAGATCTTTCTCAAATGGAAAGGGGATCAAACAATGGAAAGAAGGGAAGGGAAGAGAGAAAGGGAAAGAAGACAGGAATTAAAATGTGTTAGGCACACGCAGCAACCTGACACCAAGAATGGGAGCATCATGCACTGCTAACATGTACTAATGAAAATACGATATAAATGTAAAACGTTGCTGTTTTGTTCCAGATCTAGAGTCCCCACCCCACACCCAACATCTCCATGCGCACTGATGGGGACTGGATCAGGGAGTGCTCTCCTCATGAGTGGATTCGTCCCGAGTATGTTCACCAGTGAGTGTCCCGGGAGGTGGGGCCTGGCTGCAGGCTGTCCCTGGGGGTGTGAGCTGGACGGGCGCAGCTCCCTCCCAGGCTCCCCCCTTCTTTCTGCTTCCGGGGCTCCTCTGCCAGGGCCCTCCTACCATGCCATTCCTGCCGTGGTGCCAGACAACCATGGACAGAGGAGGCCTCGAGCCAAAATAAACTTCTCCTTTAAACGGTGGTGTTGGGTAATTTGTCCCAGGGATGTTTCAGAAAGTGACTGAGAGAGACAGTTGGCAACTTTGTACCAATTAACAACATTCTAAAATTGTTCTGGTCTATAAAAGTAGGAACCTGAGAGCCTTTCCCGAAGGTGGACAGCTCGGATCAGCTGAGAGGTAAACTGATCTCTCCTGAGAGCGCAGCCCCTGGTTCTGGACTATTGAAGTCCTCTTTCTCTATTGACCTTCAGGTGCACCAGAGAATCAGAGGCCCCGCAGCCCTGGGAAGTCCTGAGTAACAGAGTCCGCTAGCGGACTACTACGCCTACCTGAGACCCCGCCCTCTGCCCCAATACAACTCAACCCCAAAGAGCTTTACTCTGATTTTCGCAGCTAACACCTGGACGTGACAGGCACAAAGCACGGTCCAGTAATTCCAGGCACTGTCAAAGGGACTGAAGGCACCAACCCCGAGAGACCCCAGGAAACTGAGAGAAGAGGGCAGGAAGCACACTTGAGGTGGTCTCGGGGACCCTGTGGCTGCGCACCGGACAGGGAGGTGACTGCCTCCCTAGACCACCGCTCTAGGCCAGTGTGGCAGGCAGGGAGTGCACGAAGGCCTTGCCTCTCGGATCTCGGCCGGCTGGAAGCTGCCCTGCGGAGCACCGGACCTTTGGGACAGAACTTTGCACGCTGCCGGCCGCCGGCCCTTGGCGGTAAGGCGACGTGCTCCTGGGGGAAATCCCGTCCAGGCCCTGGACCGCGGCCGGTCACTCCCTGCAAGCTGCCCAGCGCCGGGCGGAGCACTGCTCCTGCGGCCGCCGCTATTGGTCGGCGGGTGCGGGGGGCGTGCACGTGCCAGCGGGTCTGGGCCGCGGTCCCCAGGGTGGCTGGAAAGTTAAAGCGGGCAGCGCGGCCGCTGGAGCCGAGTCGCGCGTGGACGCTGCAGCTACCCCGGTGGGCGCGGACCAGAGCCCGGATCCGCGCGGGAGGTGCGGCCGGTGGGCTGGGGCGTCCGCCTCGGGACTCGCCTCGGTGCCCGGTACGTACCCCCAGCCTGGAATCCCGGGGCGGGCGAGGGGCGCACGGGGAGCCCCCCGGTTCCCGGCAGCTGCCCGCGCGGTTGCAGTCGGACTTGCTGTTGCAGGAGGTGTAGCCATACCGTGCTGGAATTCGAATGCAGGGAGAGGACCCTCAGGGGAGCGGGACCGAACCTGGCCCGACCCACGTGTCCGTCGGTCCGTCAGTCCTCCTACAGCTGCCCGGGGGTTGGGGCTGTGTCCACAGATAAACCTGTGCCCTGTTGTCCCACGTTCGCATGTCAGACCGGTTTCTAGCCTGAGGCCTGACACCTGTGGAGGACGCCTTGGAACTGAGTGGTAGACTGTGTGTGTGTGTGTGCGTGTGCGTGTGCGTGTGCGTGTGTGTGTTACATCTTTCTTCCTCGGTTTCACGCTTACAAGGTGAAAAAGAAAAAAGAAAACTGCTTCCAGAGCCGGAGATGGGGAGTGCTTGCAATCGCAGCCCTTTGGGAAACTGAGGCAGGAGTATGGCAAATTCAAGACCAGCCTGGGCGATTTAGCAACTTAGTGAGAACCTGTCACAAAATTTAAAAAGTTGAAAAAGCACTTGAATGAGGCTCATTGCAAAAGGTTGTAGGTTCAGTCTTGTTGTGGAGAGCGGGGCGGAGCGTTGACTCCAAACCTCAGTGCTGCACAGTCCTATTTGCGTGCTCCCACTCCTCTCCGGCGGTCCAGATCACACTGGGTAGTCGCAGGTCCACGAGGGTCCGGGGCGCGGGGCGCGGTGGCCCGCGCGGGGGTGCTCGCGCGACGCGCTCTGCTCGGCCCGGCACCCGCGCCCCGCCCCGTCGCGCCCCTCCCCTCCCGCCTGGAGCGATAAATGGGCTCCTCCTCCCTTCACCCCGGCACCCAGCCAGGCCGGCCTCCCGGACACACCGACGCGCACGTAGTCTGCTGGCGGCGGCTCTCGATGCGGCCAGCGCGCTGGGGCGGGGGCGTCTCCGCGGCCCGGAAGGTGGGTGCGGCGCGGGGTGCGGGCGGCTCCGGGGAGCGGGCGGTGCGGCCCAGCAGGCTGCGGGGACTCGGCGGGGCTGACGTTGGTGGGTGGGCCCGGAGCCCAGAGAAAGGGGTGCCAGCAGTGTAAAAGAGGAGGTGAGGGCCCAGAAGGAAACAGATGTGGGCCCTGCAGGGCATTTTCGCCTGGGAAGAGGAGAAAGTGGGCACTGGAGAGCTGCTGAAAGTTGGCAGAGTTTGTGGGTCTCCTGGGTCCCCCAAGGGGACTCAGGGCTTCAGGCTGCGGGAGGAGGAGGAGGAACTGGTTCATTAGCAGAACTGTCCAGGAACCAAGACTAGAACGAGACAGCTGGAGGACTCACCGCAAAAGCAGTTGAGGTATGCAGGAGAAAAGTGGGAAGAGAACCAGCAGGTATTGTTATCTACACGGAGTGACAGAGCTGGCAGGAACCTTGGGAGGAATCCCGAGTAAGTTGAGGCCTGGAGCACAAATCACGCAGGCATTCTGTCCCAGGTAGGGCTCTGTTTGCCCTGGGGCATTTTTAGATGGCAAGGGGCTTATTAAACTTATTCGCAAATATTTATCTCTGAGATGCTTTCGTTGCTGAGGACAAGATCGAAGGTTGCAAATAACTTTTAAGACTGTAAATAAAGTTCCCACAGTCTGAGTACAAACAGGAAAAGATGTCAGCTTTATAAGGTATCAAGCCATGCCTCTGAGGGGGGCGGGGGCTGCTGAAGGGCACTTGCTGGCCATGTCTTAGAAACTGGTTGTGAACATTTCTCTAAGTACTTCAGTGGTTTTCAGTGTTGCTGGCATGTTTGTACATCTGGTTTTCCTGTCTTTGTCAGAAATATGGAGGAAAAATGCCTCCACCCCCATATAAAGAAAAAAAAAAGATTTGCTTCCTATAAAAGGACACCCAGAAGTTAATAGTTCAAGAGGAACCTTACACTGGGAAGGAAGGTCATGGAGTTATTTTCTGAAGAGGTCTGGCATTTTCAGAAGAAAAATCCCCAGCTATCTTGAGACAATGTGTTGTTGCCAGTGGAGCAGAAAGAGCTTTCCTGCAAGACTCTGCCTGTGCCCCCCTGCTCTGGAAAATGGCAGAGTTTATGCAGTTCGGGCCAGGAACACTGACCTTGCTCTCTGCACAGCCCGGTCCCTTGGCCAGCACAGCTGACCTCCAAGGCTTCAGTACAGATGCACTTGAGAGCTGGGACACAAATACTTGGGCTCCAGTGCTGCAATTGGTGTCACGCTTTGCTGGTTCTAACATTCTGGTTTTTACCCTAAGAAAGGGCCCCTGCCTGGAGCAGCCAGAGTAGGAGAGAAGGCCAGAGGGATATCCTGGCACATCTTGCTTGGCCACTGGTCATTTTCATGCCATTTGCATATGAAGCACCTGCCCAGGTGGCTTCCTTTTAGGGACTTAAAGTATTATTTTGGACATCTTGGCTCTCCAGTAATTCTGGGTGGTCAGTGTTCCTGTCACAATTTATTGGGGACTTCCTAGGCAGAATGGTCAAAAAAGCCCTACCCCAAACCAGCACCTTGATGCACCCATTCTTGTAGGGTAGGACAGTGAGAGCCAGAATCCACAGGCAGGACAGGCAAGACAGTGGACAGTCACGACATTCTGCTGACTAGGCCATGGGGGTAAATGTTCTCACCTGCAATCATGGTGACACACCAAAAAGGCAAAAGGCAAAAGACTCTGGGCCAAGGTTGCTTGTACAATTCCCTGGGCAGTAGACCTGCCAGTGGCAATTCTGGGCCATCAGAACCTTACTTTTGCCTTTCATGGAAGAACCTTACAAAATCAGTTCGGCCAGTGGAATGTTTAATCAGGCTCTGGTTCTGACCAGAATCTTGCCACCTCCGGTTTTGCTTGTTCTTACAGCTTGGTGATGAGAGGGGTGGTGGGAGCAGGCGGACAGCACAGGGACACAAGCGTGCAGCCCAACCGCGGTGTGTGGCTCAGTCTCTTGCACTGGCACCACGTGGTGTCAGAGCTCAGGAGAGCCCTTGGTGAGCTGCAAGTGTGCGGTCTGGATCCCTTGCCTTGGCAGTTCTGTTGCCACTGCATCTTGAGAGTTTCTTTTTCTAATGAACATCTTTAAAGGTGTGCAGGAAGTCACAGCTGAGGTTGGTTTATTGGAAACCCAGAGAGAACTTGCAGTTGACACCATGCTGACTCAGGTTAGGAGGAAGAGGCTGATGGGGAAAGAACTCATCCCCCCCCCCCCCCGTTCACACCCAGGATTTCCTGGGTGGGCTAAGTGGAAGTTTTGATGGGATGTAAGGTATGGCTGTTGTGTGGTTAGTTATTTGGTTTTAATCCATATTTAAAAACGAGTTGGGCATGGTGGTGCATGCCTGTAATCCCAATACTTGGGAGGCTGAGACAGGAGGATCTCTGAGTTCGAGGCTAGCCTGGTCTACACAGTGAGTTCAAAACCAACCTGAACTACATAGCGAGAGAGACCTTGTCTCAGAAGAAAAACAAACCAACAAACAGATTTGCCTCTGTTGAATCAGAAATGAAGCTGGGTATGGTGGCATATGCCTTTGAGGCTGAGACAGGAAACTGAGACAGGAGGATTGCTATTGAGTTTGAGACCAGTCTGCAATAGCAAAACTGTGTCCACAAATACAAAGTAAAAAATAAATCAAGTTAAAGTTGAAGATGTATTCCCAATACTAAAATTCAAGTAATTTATAAGAATAAGGTCTTTTTCTTTTTAATATACTAGGCACTCAACCCATTGATTCTCTGTAAAGCTATTTTGCCCAATTTAGTAAGAACTCTCCTTTCCAGAAAAATTGCATGGATATAAAAACATATAATAGCCAGACATGGTAGTGCATGCCCATAATCCCAGAACCTGGGAGGCTGAGGTGGGAAAATAGCCAAGAATTTGAGATCTCTGTAGACTACATATAGTGAGTTCAAATCCAGCCTGAACTACACAGAAAACCCCTGTTTAATTAAGTAATAATGTCAGGATAAGACTTAGGTAAACTTTAAAATATTTGAAATTTTTTTCTGATTATAGGAACAATATTATTTTAGCAGGTATAAGAAAATACAAACAAAAACAACTCTTCTGAAGTCCTGTCATGTGGATATTTTGATAGTGCTTTATATAGTAGTGTGTCCTGATCCACAGAGGACACATTTGAAAACACACCAGCCATGAGCGCCTAAAACCACAGCAGCTATTGACCACCACATGTGCCACGTTTTCCCCGTGTCCAAAAACGTGCCCACACAGGACCAGAGTTAACCTGCCCTTCCGTGTTAGATGTTCAGGGGCCTCATTTGGAGACACTGTGAAGTAAAATGAGTGTAAATTGAAACATAACACTGTGGTACTGCAGCCGTCTACCCAGTGCCCTTAAAGGGCAGACAGTGAGTATGTTGCTGACGGGCAGACAGTGAGTATGTGGTAGAAATACAGGACAAAGGCATGATTCACATCCCAGGGAGAAGTGGGACCAAGCAGGACAGCATGAGACTTCTTCACACCATTCACAGTGGCACACAATTTAAAATACACGAATCGTTTACTTCTGCAATTCTCCATGTAATGTTTTGATACCATAGCTGATCACAGGGGCCTGAAGGCGTGGAATGCAAAAGCACAGACAAGGGGCCTCTATATTGCTATCTTTTTTGCATATGAGATTTTTGCGCCACATGTCTGATCTTCATGGACTAGTTTGTCTTCTCTGATTTTCATATCTACAATATGTTACCCGATTTTTCTATACCATTTAAATCTTTTCCATCAATGAGTTTAGTGGTAATATAAAATTAAACAGCACAGATGTAGCACAGCTTAGTTAACCAGATACTGTTAGTGGTCTCTCTTTAGCATTTCCCTCCCTCTATAATTAGTTGCATTAAACATTTTAGTACATTAATTTCCATTCACTTTTAACTATTTACATAAGATGAATATCTGTATGTGATATTGGAACAAAAATGATAACATTTTAAAAGGTTGTATCAATCAGAATGTTAAAAGCATTTTTTTTATTTTTTAAAGTTCTTTCCAAATTCAATAGTTAGAAATGGGCATCTTTTCTACTCTAAATTTCTTACACTAATTTTGATGTTGGACATTGCATATTTATGGGCCACTTTTCATTTTCTTCCATGAATTTTCTATTCATACTTTTAGTCTTCTTTGTGGACTGCTTGATTTTGTTACGGTTTTATAAGAGCTCTTTGTATATTAGGGTACTATTTTCTGTCATGCTACTTATAAAATATTTTTCCAAGTTATCTGTACTTTTTCTGGATTTTATGGCTTTTTATTATTTATAAAAAATATAATTTTATGAAGTCAGAATTAACCTCTTGTAGCATAATTCTTTTTGCTCCCAGAGCAACTATCTTTACCTATATAAAAGGCAAAAAGTCCACATATATGAAAGGTTTAAAAATATTAAATTGTAGTATTTCTTAAAAAAAGAGTGCTGGAATATAAAAGCCTACCATTACTTTAATGAAAAGAAGTTTGTGTCTGTCTTCATAATTGAATCCCAGTGTCTAGCCTAATGCCTGATGTAAACACCAAATCAGTATCTGTATGATGAATCCATTTCTTTTTATTAAACTAAAACAATTATTAATGCTTAAAACTACAGTGAGATCTCCTCACATCTGTTAGACTGGTTGTTATCGAAAAGAGGAAAGATAACAATGTTGGAGAGAAGCTCGAGGAAAGAGAAGCCTGTGGGGATCTCAGTCAGTGCAGCCCTTTCCAGGAAACAGCGTGGGGTTTCCTCAAAACTTACAATTACCGTATGGCTCGGCAATCCATATGGATTCAAAGGGGAGGAAACGAATATGTTGAGGAGACAATCCACAGCTATTTTCATTGCAGTATTTTTCCTAATAGCCCAGATATGGAGTCAGGCTAAGTGTCCACCAACGGGTAGAGAAAGTGGGGTACATGTATATACACAGTGGAACACCTCAGCCATAGAAAAGAATTTGGAGCAACGTGATGAGCCTGGAGGACACTATGTAAAATGCAATAAGCCAGGCACAAAAAGACAAAGTCCACATGCTATCACTTACATGTGGAATCTGTAACAGTGCTACTCCCTGAAGCCCAGTAGAATGCTGGTTACCAGGGCCTGGGCATGAGGAGCCTGGGGAGATCTTAACCAAAGGACACAAAATCTTATTTCAATAGGAGGAGTAAATTCAAGAGAGCTACTGTACATCACAGTGACTAGAGTTAATAAAAACATACATGGTACTTGAAAATTGCCACAAGAAGATATTCTAACTGTGCCCAACACACATACACAAACACACACACACACACACACACAGTCACACATGATATGTGAGATAATGCATAAGTTAATAGCTTGTTTTGCCACTGCACTGTGTTGTATACCATAAATGTCTACAATGTTTGCTTGCTAATTTAATAAATCAAAGCACCAGTCTTTAGCAAACTATGTTTCTTAGGACACCTGTCTGTGGAATATACTTTTCCTGCCAAGGGATTCTTTATTCAAATGAGTTTGAGACTCTGTAAACAGTGCACCCTTTTCTTTAGTCATAGTGGCTCATTAGCAATAGGCTCAAGGAAAAAAGCTATGCACATAACTTTAAAACCGGTGGATTTCATGTTTTTGTGTGTTTTCAACTTCCAACACCCCTCCTCCAACATGCGCGCGCGCGCGCACACACACACACATACACACACACACACACGCACACACACACACACACACACACACACACACACACACAGGATTACTGTTCCCTGAAACCCACATCCTTCGAGACCACCCTGGAGTTAACACTGACCCTTGCACGCCCAGGTGAAAGGAGACATTGTTCAGCCCTCTCTGCTGGAATGAGGCGTTCAAACATCCATCTGATCTCCTTCCCATTTTCTGTCTTTCCCCTTTTGCCAGGGTGCCTCCCGGCTCGTCTCACCCCGCGATGGCAGTGGATATTGAGTACAGGTACAACTGCATGGCTCCTTCCCTGCGCCGAGAGCGGTTCACCTTCAAGGCCTCCCCAAAGCTGAGCAAGCCACTGAGGCCCTGCATTCAGCTGGGCAGCAAGGATGAAGCCAGCGGGATAGTGGCCCCTGCGGTGCAGGAGAAAAAGGTGAAAAAGAGGGTGTCCTTCGCGGACAACCAAGGGCTGGCCCTGACAATGGTCAAAGTGTTCTCAGAATTCGATGACCCATTAGATATTCCATTTAACATCACTGAGCTCCTAGACAACATTGTGAGTCTGACGACAGCAGAGAGCGAAAGCTTTGTCTTGGACTTTGCCCAGCCCTCCACGGATTACTTAGACTTTAGAAATCGACTTCAGGCCAACCACGTCTGCCTTGAAAACTGTGTGCTGAAAGACAAAACCATCACAGGCACCGTGAAGGTGCAGAACCTCGCATTTGAGAAGATCGTGAAAATCAGGATGACATTTGACACTTGGAAAAGCTTCACAGACTTCCCTTGCCAGTACGTGAAGGACACTTATGCAGGTTCAGACAGGGACACATTCTCCTTTGACATTAGCTTACCTGAAAAGATCCAGTCTTATGAAAAGATGGAGTTTGCTGTGTGCTATGAGTGCAACGGCCAGACATACTGGGACAGCAACAAAGGCAAAAACTACAGGATCATCCAGGCCGAATTAAAGTCCACTCAGGTCGAGTCGCAAAATGGCCCGGATTTTGGGATAGCCTTTGACCAGTTTGGGAGCCCTCGGTGTTCCTATGGTCTGTTTCCAGAGTGGCCGAGTTACTTAGGATATGAAAAGCTAGGCCCTTATTATTAGGGACTGCAGTTGATCGGTTGTGGCTCTGATCGCCCTGGGTTGGAGAAGCCAAGCAAAGAGCAAAGCTGAACTTCCATCAGGCACCATTTGTGAAAAGAAAGGATCCTGTTCACTTTTTTCTGAAACCAGAAAATTCAGCCAGTTTTAGCTCACGGAACTGGCTTCTCACGCAGAGGTGACACGCTGGTCCCTTGTGACAGACACCTGAAGCTGCCACAAGAATGAGGAGGACAGTGCCAGGAAGGCTCTGGAAAGGAACCAAGCCTGTAGGCAGTGCTGGCAAGGCTGGAGGAGCCTGCCCTCCCTCTGTACTTGGACGCAGAAAGTCAGTCACCTGAAAGTGACTCAGTCCCTGTCCACCCCAGTGGGACCCACGTGGTCATCCACCTTTGGTGTTCTCCACCATCCAGGCCTTTCCTACAACTCATACCACCCTTACCTCTGTGCTGCGACACAGCCATTGCTGTGATGTTCAGCGAGATCCCTCACAGCTGTAAGAGGACAGATGCAGTCACCTCCTTTTCTGCAAATTCATTTCTTTGCATTACATTTTTTTTCCATGGTTTGTCTGATGTTCAGAAGAGACTAAAGGCAAATAAATAGCCTGTGACTGAAAGAGGCATTTCCTCTCCCCTCTTCCTGACCCCGCATCTATGTTCCAGCAGACAGCAACATACCAGCAATGGAAAAGCTGTGTGGCATCGCAGACTGCAGGATGGTGATGAGGCAGGATCGTTGGTGTATGGGACACTTGCAGCTTTTCCTCTCGGCTTTTTGGAAGAGCTTTCTAAGCACTCGCCGTCACCCTGAGTCACTAGAAGCCTCAATGACATGATTTGTTTTCACTTGTTTGGCTGGTTTGCAAGCCTCCTTCATTCTTTCACACAGAATTGTGGCTCTCTTCCTGGAGAGTCATCTCGATTCTGTGTTTAGAATATTTGATTTGCAGATCCATGAAGCCCTCAAAAAATGTTTGGTTTTATTTCACCTGCAGTATCCCGAACACTTTACAAGCCCCCAGGGACACTGACGGGTGTTCTTATTTATGGTGTGCGAGTATGTATAGGGTTGGGGAGAAGCCCTCATCACATTCTCATATATTTAACTGTTTGCCAACTCTGAAAAAGCAGTGGTTCACTGTTCTCAACCATATTGGACTAAAGTATGTTGGAGAATGTTGTTGTGAGATTCCTGGGACATTTGTTGTCGGATGGATTCCCCAAACCTGTGATTTTTCTTGGGCAAGATTGGTTTTTACTTAAGGGTATTTGAATAATATTTTTACATGTATATTTGTAGAAATTTTGATTGGTTTTTTCTTGGTTTCAGAGTTTGGTTAAAGAACTATTTAAGTCTCTATTTGCCTGATCTTACTAAAAGTGAGGTTTTCTTAGGCACGCAGGAAAAGGGAATGCACCATTGCCGAGCTTTGGAGGCACAGCTGCTGCACTTGTCAAGCAGAGTCTTGTGCTTGAATTTTCCAGATTAACTAAAAAGATCTGATTTCTGTGACTCTGGGATCAGTGTCAGCCTGGTATTGAGTACCTTGGCTCTTGGACTTTGGTAGTTGGGGACTATTTTTCTTTTTCTTTTCATTTTTGAACTTTTATTTTCATTTTGAATATTTTCAGTTTTAACTTTAAATGCTAAGTGATATTTCATGTAATTCTTGTCACCGAACTTAGCTGTTACTAGTCCACAATCTAGGACTTTATGTTTTGTACCTCTGCCAGGTAGGTAGCACTTTGGGATTACATAATAATGTAATTTATGGGGAAATCACATTTGTATTTTATGCTGAAATTGGGCAAGACTGTGTTTCATCCAAGCACCAGGTCCACAAGTGGTACTTTTAATAGAACTATTAGGTCAGAACTATTAATAGCATAAATCCAAATCAAATGGAAGCAAAACTGATCCCATTTAGGTTGCAAGCTTTATTTTGGGTTGAGAAGTGCCCCCACACCCCCAGTGAAAGACAGGGACAAGGTACATTGTTACCTACAAGTAGCCAGAGTAAGGATAATCCTGTGTTCCAAAGAAAGGGTCCTCAAGTGACTCTAGCATAAACTCTTTTGGTTTTGTGTAATAATGATCCTGAGACATTCCCCTGTCAAAATTTGAAATATGGTAATTCAGCGATAAGTATCTCCCCTACAGCAGCTGTAAGTCCCCCACCCCTTCTTTCTCCCAGCTCACTCCAGCCTTTTTTGCTGAGGGCACTGGTTGCAAGCCCCCAGCTGACACACCTGGCGTGTGCACCCACCCCTCTGTTCAGAAGGCAAGTCCTCACTTGGCTGCAGGAAGCCTGCTTCCCCTTGAAGAACATCTTGCCTGACTTCAGCAATGAGGACTGTCACTTACCTGAGATCTGAACACCGTGCCTGTGCCTTCCTGCTGCTGCTCCCCGCCCCCAACACCCCTTCTCCATTAGGCCCAGTCGCTGGTGCTTCTCTCAGATGAGCTCAGGGGACGCATGGAGAGGTTCTCCCCTTCTTTGTTCCTAGCTCACCATTTGGCCTCCACGTTTCAGAGGCTGACAGGCTCCTCAGTTAGAGTCTTGCCTTGCCTGGCCTGGACCTCTGATACCATTCTTGGTTGCCAGGACGAATAGTCCCTGGTTGTCCCGCCTTTCCCACTTGCCCCATGGTCCCAACTTCCCGTCACTGTGCAGTAATGTTGTAGTTTGAGAGTGTGGAAGTAACTCCATTTTTGTTTGATATTTATTTTCCAAAATGCCCCCTGGCACTTTGCAAATTGGATGCAATAAATAAGCTGAACTATATAAAATATATAGTAAATAAGCTTTCAGTGTCTCTTGGAAGGTGTTTCTTGGAAGCATGGAAAGGGGCTTTTTAAAAGCTATTCTTACTAGAGGCGAGCTAATGAGAAATAATGGAGCTATGCAGATCTCCGGAAATTAAAATAATGAGTCAGTGATGGAATTTATCTCTAAGATTTAATTTTAATGGTGATAAAAATGATGTTTTTTTTTTTAAAGATGTAAGCTTTGAACTGCTTTGAAGTTTTCAATCTTTACATATCATTTGCTTTTTAAAAACAAATATAATTTGTCATTTGGATATGAGATGGGTTTTATATGCTCCTTTTTTTAGAAATGCCCATTTGGTGAGTCTTCTCTCTCAAAGAACAGTGACTGCAAACTTTGGTCTTCTTTTTAATTTCCTCCACTGGCTCCAGACCCAGTGTTTCTTTGCCGGGGGTTGGGGGTAATGAGGGGTTTTATCTGACTGTCTCTCCCCAAAGGATTACTAAAATTGGAGATAAGAAGTTACACTGATAATGGAATCTTACCTATAGTGGGATCTCACAGGGTTACCAAAGACAGTTTGGCAGCTTATTTTAGCTTCCTGAAGTGGCGCAACACGTCAGGGACAAGCAGTTTATACTGGTCATGTTTGTAAGTTGCAAAGTTGTGAATGTTTTTACAGTTGTGTTGATAGCTTCGGAGAGACTGCTGGCTGTGTGGGACTTGGAGGAAAGTGCAGCTGTGATGATGTTTCATTTTTACCTCAATGTGAATGTAGAATTGAGGACTCATCTTCATTTTATGCATAAAAGTGCCTTGTCAAAAATTTCTGCATGTTTTTAAAAAATAAATATTTTTGTACACAAAGTTAAAGGGGAAATGCACTTTAAAAAATCACAAGAATGGCTGGGTTTTTTTTTTGTGTGTGGTACCAAGAGAGTGATTTGTTTGTATCTATCTCAAAAGCAACAAGTAATAAAGATAGAGAGAAAACAAAACTGAAACTGTCTTTCTATTCTTAGAGCCAAAAAAGAGGGGAGAGATATTTTAAATCCGTCTTTCTACAGACAGACCTTGGGTTCTTAAAGATTTCTGTCACAGTCAGTGTCTACTGTAAAGCCAAAGCTGGAAGGAGGCACTAGCTGCTTTTACATTGTCCCGCAGTGACAGCTGACCTCAGGTGAGGTACTGGGGTGGAGGCTCAGGGCCGTGGACGCGCTGCACCTACCCTCCTGCTTGATCAAGTGTACTGCAAACAAATGCACTTGATGAATCTGAGGAAACTATCGGGGACTGTCATAGCTTTGCCAGGATCAAATCCACTCCTGGGGTGACCTCCCTTCTCCACTGGAGAGTGGTGGTCATTCACCCCAAGGAACATTTGTATTTCAAAGTTCAGAAGAAGGGATGGAGGGAGACAGGCAGGTGGTAAACCTCCTCTGGACGTGTCACTTCCCTCAGCCCCTGTCACCCTGGGAAGGAGAGTGGTATCTCTGTTGTGAAATCATAGGGGACACCGACACTTAGCAGCCAAGGTACAAACGCAGACATGAGTGCCTTATGTAACTGTCTTTTCAAATGTTTAAGCACCACCCACAATGTGCCTTCATGGAAACAAGAAGAGGGAAATGATGTTGGTTTCCATCAATGGTCAAGACTCACTACAGCTTTCACAATCATTTCATAAATGTGAAGTCATCACTCTGAGAGGGCTAGTGTAAGACATCAGAAGAAAATGCAACCACTTTCCTGGAGCAGCATCCTCAGCATAGCAAGGGCTAGCACTGCACCATTCAGCTGCACACTCACCGCCCACTGACCAAGTTTAGGAGGGGTTCGGTGCTCTTTCCACTCAACCCTGTGCTCAGGGCTCCTCTGGTGAGTGTGGGAACTGCAGAAAGGCAGGGGACATTGAGAGGTCTGTCATCTACCTTTACTTCTGACACTGCCACCTTTAAGGCCCGTTGCCCCCCCGTGTCTGCCCTCCTGAAGGAATCTGAGTGTGTTGAGCAAGAATGACAGACGTAGGACCTCTGAAAGTGCCCTGAGTGTTTCTGAGATGGGCCAAGATCTTTAAAAGGATTCTAAATATAAACTGCGAAAAGTTCCATGAGGACTGTGTGCATCCTTTCAGAGGCCCACAGGACGGAACAGCATTGCAAACACTGAGACTTCATTAAAATCATCAGTGTTCGGGCTGCATGCAATATTAAAGAGAGAGCTCGCTTTCATGGAGACAGAGATGATAATTCTGAGTGGGTTTCTCCAAGTCAGATTTTGTTTTGTTTTTCCAAGAACTGTCCACATGAACCAGAGTCAGTTCCTCAGATCTGAGAGACAGAAGAGGTGACTCTGAAAAGCCAGCCTTATTGAAGCTGCAGCAACACAGTCCCCAGGGCAGGGGGACAGGATCGTCATTATGCAAGCAAAGGTGGATCCCTCTGAGGCCTTCCTTGGCACACACGAGCCTATGAAAGCATCAAGTCAGCAGGCAACAGCATAGGTCTCTAGGGGCTCACTGAACCTCAGGATGTGACAGGAGGAAGACACCAAAGGGACTGGGGACACAAAGGTTCCAGAAAAGGGGCAGGATTCTTGGCCTCTGAAAACTCCCTCCCCAAAAGGGAACCTCTGTGGTAGTACACAGGGCAGCTTTAACCAAACCTCATTCCTCATTCTCCTGGTCACCATGCTAGGAGGGACAGAAAGAAAAGAAGTCAACAATATGCTTACCATCCTCTGGGACTCTCTGTGAAAGGCCACACTTGAGTCAGGGCCATTTCCCGGGCACTGTTGGGCCTCCTGGCATCAGCCCAGTGCTGGATTGTGTGTTTGACACAGGTAGGGCAGGGATACAGAGCTGTCACCTTCCTTTGATACCAAAGGCAGCAGTAATGGTCTTAGATTCTTTTAGGTCCTTTTCTCCCAAAGCTATAAGATCAGAGAGAAAGAACAAGGAGCAGCAACTTTTTTCTGCAAGTGCGGGATAGTAAATATTTTAGATATTGTCAGTCACATGCAATTTTTTCTTTTGTTTGAAAATATGAAGACCATTCTTAAGGGTCATGCACAAACAGGACAGGGCTGACTTGTCCTTCAGGCTGTGGTTTGTCCTTCCCAGTGAAAAATCTAGGAGGGGACTTGGAAAGCAACTTGCTGAGTTTTGGAGGCAGGAGGTTATTTTCAGTTGCTTTTTTTTTTAATGGCCATATAATTTATGGTCAAAACCGGGACAATTTTGGGAATGCATCAGGCTGCTATTATTCATTACCTTGGAGCTCTCAGTGTGTCTGGGAGTAACCTGAGCAAACCCAACTGCTACAACCCGCCAGTGCTGACCTACTCCGCATCAATCCTTTGGGATCTCGCTAGACCTGAGGAGAGTCCAGAAACCTCTCCCAGCATGGTCTCATGCAGGAATCATTTCTGGCTGAATAGTGCCTTTGGGGAAGGGTGAATTATAACACAGTGGTGATTTAGTCTGTGGTTTAGATATATTTTTGTTGGTTGAGTTTTCTTTTCCCTAATTGTAGTGCTGATAGCCAAAAGCCCTCTGGAAATTATAGTCAATTCACTCTTAACAGTAGTTTGTTTAGGAGGAAAGAGGTTATTACTGGTTTGGGCTTATTTCCTACCACTGCTTGTCCCCTGCCCACCCAGTCCTCCTTATGCCTGACAAGCAGGCAATGCTCACTGTAGACAGAGACACTGAGCTGAATCGAGCAGTATTCCAAACCTAAGTCCCCAGGAAGCAGCTTTCAAGAGCTCCCGGGAATTTTGCCAACTGCAGGATCTCAGCTCATCTTTCTCTGGCCTAGCAAGTTCAAGAAGCCGGAAGCACCATAGCAGACCAGGGACACTGGGGTTTATCCCAAACAGCTCTGGCTCTTGGCCTTGAGAACACCCTCCCTCGCTGGTGGCCACCTTGAGAAGCGGACACCTATGTTCCATCTTTTGTGCTCTATCACCTTCCCCTGCAGGTATTTTTTTCCTCAAAGCTTGTGTCAGCAGGGGCTGAAGGTGGGTCTGTCATGTGGGGCAGACTCCAATCTCAGTGCTGAGGGGTTCTGCAAAGCTTCCTGTGAAGACCAATGTATCAAAGAAGAATTCTGGGGGCTGGGGATTTAGCTCAGCGGCATAAGCGCCTGAGTGCCTACCTTGTAAGCAGGCAGTCGTGAGTTCGATCCCCGGTACCGATAAAAAGGAAAAAGACAAAAAAAAAAAAAAAAAAGAAGAAGAAGAAGAAGAATTCTGCACTGCCAAGGGAGGGCTGGTATTACAGCACGCACTCAGTTCTTTGAGAAAAAGTGGAAACACCACACACCATCACAGCCTTCACTGATAAGTTAGCGACAAAATGAAATTGGTTACAGCTTCCACTGGGCTCATTTCTGGAGCCATCTAAATTACCTTATGGGTGCCATCTTGGTCCCAAGTAAGTGGGAAATTGGCCAGGTGAAATTTCACTGATTCTATAATTTATAACATTATTTTATCAAAAATTAATTTCTTAATTATATACCATGAGTCAATTACAGATTTGAACCAAACATTGAGGTATCCTCTGTACATTTGCATAAGTTCTTTGAAATAGGTTTATGTCCTTGCTCATACAATAAGCCCATGTTAATTTGAATTCTCCAAGTGATTTGCAATATTCATGCATTCTATTTCACAGAGAGGTAAGAGACACTAAGAAGAAAAACCAAAGAAAAAGTATTTTTGCCTGAAAAGCCCCTCTTGATTTGTGCATTTTTCTGCCTCAAAATGGCATTTTTTCCCTCAAAGCTTGTGTCAGCAGCACACATATTGTCCTAATCAGGAAAGAGCAGCAGTGAAGGGTGACACTGTGCTTGCAGTGGTTGAGGCAGAATCTTGTTCTGTTGCTCATTCTTCAGCTCAGCCTCTCCAGTATCTCTCTGGATGGGGGTCACAGAGATGCAAGTCTCCAGCTGAAACCTCAGCCCTGAGCAACAGTGAACTCTGACAGGAGTGGCTGGAAGCTGCACTTAAACCAAACCTGTTGCATGTTAACCTACAAACCAAAGAGAAAAGCAGTTGCTGGACCATGGGGAAGAAACCCAATAGTAGAGCACAAGCACAAGCACAAGCACAAGGCCCTAGATTCAACCTCGAACCCCCAGCACCAGAAAAAAAAGGGAGTTGCCCAAAGTGGACAGCCGGAAGTAAAGAACCACATACCCAGAGCCTGATGCATTTCCTTCCTCAGCTTCAAAGGTATAGGCAAGAGCATCTTTATTAGAACGCGCATGGTACACGGCTCCTGTTTCCTAAGTTCACTGATGCAGCTGAAGGAAATCCTGAAAATAAGACAAAAGCAAGACTGATGTGTGGGGAAACATAACCATTTAACCTGGATTACGCAAAAAGGCCTCTGCTTCTGTTTCAGCTACGCTAGCAAGGAGCATTATCAGCTCCTTTCACAAAGAATGTTTCACAGAACTGCACCTGAGTTGTCTCTAGTGGTACATATATGACATATATACATATATATACACACACACATATATAAATTAAACTGCTTAACAAAGCAACTTCTAGTCTAAAAATGATACACAAAAATATATTGTGCTTCTGTGCACAAGGTTGTGATTAGCCAACTGTCAAAGGAAATACAGAAAGACATTTGTGGCTACTCTGGGAGGTTTTAAGGCAGGACAATTGCAAGTTTCAGGCCAGCCTGGGCAACCTCATAAGACCCTGTCTCAAAATAAAAAGAAAAAGGCCTACGGAATGTGTGTCAGTTGTAAAATGCTTCCTTAGCATGTACAAGCCTGTGGCTCAATCCCAAAACCAAAAACAAACAAAAAAAGACATCCACTATCATCAAGCTATGAAGACTCTTTCAGTTGTTGGTGTTTTTCAAAATTATACATTTCTATCCCACTTACTTGTATCAAATTAATCCCAAAAAGAAAGTCCTCATATTTCTTTTTAAACAAAGCTGAGGGGCTACAGATACAGTTTTGCGGCATAAGCGCCTACCTGGCAAGTGAAAGGTCCTGAATTTGACTTCTAGTACCAAAATAAATAAACAAACAAATAAAACTGAGATTTTGAGATAATAATTAATTTACATACAGTTGTAAGAAATAATACAGAGAGACTCCAGGTACTATTTACCCAGTTTTCTCCCACAGTAACTTCGATCAAAGCTATAATGTCACAAGCTGGAAGCAACATTAATTCAGTCAAATATGCAGCATTTCAGTTTGTCTTTTCTGGTTGCTCCATCTCTTCCCATCCTCTCCTCTCTTTCCCCATCCCAGCCCTCCGCATGGTCCTTGATTCCTGGCAACCACTAGTCTGCTCTTCTTCTCTATAATTTTGTCATTTCAAGGATGTTCTATAAATGGAATCATAACTGAATACAACTTTGGGGCACTCTTAGCATGCTTTCCTAAAGTCACAAATTGTTCCATGTATCCGTGGTTGGTTCTTTTCAGTGCTGAGGACTATTTAACTGCATAGATGTTCCAGTTTGTTTAAGAAGTAACATACAAAAGGGCACTTGAGTTGTTTCTACTTTGGGACTATTATGAATTAAAGCATTATGCATATTCATGTATAGGTTTTTATGCAAATATATTTTCATTTTTCTGGGATAAATGCCCAGGGGTGAAATGGCTGGATTGCATGGTACTCACATGTTTACTTTTATGTAAAACTGTCCAACAATTTTGCAGAGTGGTTGTACAGTTTTACCATACCATCAATAATGTATTCAGTTCCTAGTTCATCCTTGTTAACTTTTGGTGTTGTCCTTAATACTTATGTTGGCAGTTCTGATGGGTATGTAGAAAGGTCTCACTGTGTTTGTAATTTGCATTACCCTAATAGTTAATTATGTTGAGCATTTTTTTGTGTGTGAGCTTATTTTCCACCTATAAATTTTTGGTAGAATGTCTTTTCACTCTCACTGAATTATTTGGGGAGTGATTTTTCACTGTTGAGCTCTGGGAGTTTTTTATACATTCTAGGTACTAGTGCTTTGTCAGATGTGTCGTTTGAAAATATTTTTTTACCTGTATTGTATTTTCATCCTCCATGCATGAACTTTCTCAGAGCTATAATTTTTACTCTTTGTTAGATTTTCCTTTTATAGGATCATAACAAGTATAAGAACACTGGGCCTAGGCTTAAATCCCAAAGGTATTATATATTTTTCTTTAAAAATTTTTCTAGTCTAACATTTTAAAAATAAATCATTTTGAGTTAACTTTTTATAAGGTGAGAGGCTTAGGTTGGGCTCAATGTTTTTGCTTATTGATGACCATGTCCTTCAGTACCATTTGTTGAAAAGGCTGTCTTTCTCTACACATTTGCATCCGTCAAAAAGCAGTTGGACATACCTACAAGGGATTATTGTGCTCCATTAATGTACATACCTCTCCCTGAATATTATCATGTTGCCTTGATTACTGTTGCTGTATAGTGAAGACCCAATATAAGATAAGTAACTCTGTCCATTTTATTCTTTTTCAAGATTTTTTGATATTCTAGGGCTTGTATCTTTTCATATAAACCATGGAATAATCTTTGTGTATGAAAATTTGTGTTATGATTTTGATCAAAATTGCCTTAAATCTATCGATCAATTTGAAGAGAATTGATATCTTTACTATGATGAATCTTCTATCCCATAACTATAATGTATCTCTTTATTTATGTGGATCTGTTTTGATTTTTCTCATCAGTATTATTATTTTCAGCATAGCAACCCCTACATATATTTTAATTTTTGTGTATTTTAATTTTTTGGTGTGAGTTTAAACTGAATTGTGTTCTAAATCTTAGTTGTTGGGTCTTCATTGTTTGTATACAAAAATGCAGTTGATATTTGTCTATGGATTTGTTTTGCCCTTCAAACTTACTGAGCTCACTGATTAGTTCTAAGAGTGTTTCTGTAGGTTACTTAGGATTGTCAATGAAAATAATTGTCACCTGAGGCAGTTTCATTTTTTCCTTTCCAATCTATTTGCTCATTAGTTATTTTCTTGCATTTTTATAGTAGCTAGAATTGTTAGTGTCATGTTGAATGAGAGTGCAAAGAGTGGTCATCTTTGTCTTGTTACTGGTTTTAAAAGAAAAGCAGTTTTTGTTGCCATTAAATATAATGTACTCATAGGCTTTCTATAGCCACTCTTTGTCATGTTGAGAAAAACTGTTTTTAACCCTGATTTGTTGAGAGTTTCATTTTGTGTTTATTTTGTTTTTGGGGGTGAAGGGTATCATGAGCAAGAATTGGATTTTTTCAAATGCTTTTTGGTATGAACTGATACGGTCATGTAATTTTTCTGCTTTATATTGAATTATATTGAGTGTGTGTTTGTTTGTTTTTGAAACAGTCTCACTGTGTAGTTCCAGGCTGGCCTTGAACTCACTATGTAGCCTTGGCTGTCCTCAAACTCACAGCAAACCTCTTTCCTTAGCCTTCAGAGTGCTGGGATTATATGCAGTGCCATCACACCCAAAAATTCTTTCTATACATTGCTAGAATTTTTTTTTTTTTGCTAATATTTTGTTGAAACTTTTTGTGTTTGGAGTCAGCCATATTGAGTCTGGTTTTGTGTCACTTTAGAACTGCCTCATATGTGTTACCTCCCTTTCTCTTTTCCGAAAAAAATCATGTAAAATTTTTCTTTTCTTCTTTAAATGTGTTGTGAAATTCACCATTGAAACCCTCTAAGTCTAGAGATTTCCTTTTTTAGATTATTTCAAATTACAAACTGAATATCTTTATGGGGCCTAATAACTAATGATTTAATGAACTATTCTTGCATATCTCCTTAGATATTTTGGGAACTCAATAAATATTTAATATATTATTTTTTGCAGCTTTTCCAAAGCCTATATCTAAATTAAATAGGAAATCACAATACATGACCACACAGGATCCTGCTTACTATAATAAATGCTCTTGTCCTCTGTGCTCAGTTATTTTCATAGCTTAATAGCGTTGATATTTTAAGCATGTAATAACTTGTCTGAACAAAACATTCATTAAACAAACCTTTACTAGATATAATGTACCCTGTTATTTTCTATTCTGCTTCATATCATTTTTTAAAATACTGGTTATAACTCATTAAATGCATTTCTGGACCCACTGAGGTATTGCAACTGCAATCTGGAAAATGTTCATTTACAGAGTCTCTGTTGTCCCTTCTAATTCTGACACTCACTGCTATGGTTCTTTGACTCTTGATTTTTCCTTGACTGTAACACAAAGCCTGTTATACAGATGGTGCTGTTGTTGTTTAACATTATTTCCAGATCATTTCCAAAGTGGATTTAAGAGTTTACAACAAATGCAGAAAATCTTAAGGCAAAAAGAAAGATGAGAAATCATGGGGAAAATTCTTTTCTATTTTCCAGGAATGAAAAAAGAAAAATATCAAGACATCTAGATACCAGGTCGCTTAGCTTGAATTATTTGCTGTTATGCTTTATTAAAAGGGGACCAGAATCGGAAAGAATGACGTTTTCTGAGAGGGCAGAAGTGTCACACTATTGCAGCTCTTCCCAGAGGAAAGCAGAGGCTCACTGCGGGATTTCTGTGATCTAGAAATGAGGCAGAGGTAAGCAGCCCAGCTCCTCTGCCGCGAGTCTTACTGTGGTTCGTCCTCCAGTGGTTTCTCCTTTTCTTTCATAACTGAAATTTAAAAACCCAGCGCTAAACAGAAGCTTGAATTTTAGTGTCTAGAGAACGGTTCTCACAGGCCCTGCTTTCACGGATCTCCTTATCCATCTCTGTGCTCCTATTCAGGATATAAGCATGACTTGTAATATTATATAAGGTCAAAGTAGCATGCCTGAAGAACCACAGATGGGAAGAGATCGTGAAGTCCAGCCTCCTGTGCTACAGATGCAAACAATCATATCCAGAGAGCTTAGGGAATTGGCTCAAAGTTGAACAGAAAGTTTGTATCTTAAGCTGACCTTTGACTGGAGCCCTGATTATAATCATGGGTCTGGATATCCTCCTTCTCAGCGCTGAACTTCAAGCAGCATAGTTCAGCATCCAGCTCATTTGCCCACCAAAATGAGAATTATTCTTGCATCACCTTCTGCCAGCTAATTAATTAAAGGCAGGGGAGGGGGCAAGAAAAGACAGAGGGAAAGAAGATCAAATAGGAAGAAGCTTTACTGCCTCGTCTCTCTTGCTAATGGTTACAGATTTGAGTCCTGGCTAAAATGTAATAAAAGATGTTGACTGAAACCCTGAAAAAAAAAGACAGGAGCCCTCACCCAGTGTTACAGTTGAAGGTCTAGCTGGAAACAGGCAAACCCTGAGTCA